GGAAGCAGAACCGTGAGGGGAGACGCGCACGAAATTCTCTCTTAACAAAAAACGCCAGGACGCCGTCCCTGCAAACTTTGCAATAAGGACACGAACCGCACCTCCTTCGCGATGCGCGACCTTGAGCATTCGAGCAACCGTGCACAGCTCAACCGATGCCACAACCAATGTGCCAAAACGGCTTGAGTCGAGGCTCGAGCCAAAAGGGCTACGGACCGTCCTGGGGGCCCCTGGGACCGTCTTGGAAGCCTCTCGGCCGTTCTGGGGCCCACTTTGGGCCAGCCGAGAATGGAGCGCTGCGCCAAATCACCCGAGCATCCGCCAATTCCTGGGGCCCCTCCCTAGAGAGCGGTTCGCCCCAACCAAAACGTCGTCACGTGTGCCTCGCTCTTTCCGCCGCGCGGGCCGCGCCGCGCGAACGAGCGACGCACGGACTTGCCCGAAGAGGGCCCACGGCGTTCAACACCTGTTCCTGTTACGTTATCAACTCGCCTAACAAGAGATAGTCCGTCCACTGGAAATCTTGCGAGCCTCGAAGTCAAAGCTGTGTCTGGGGGGGGGCCCTGGAGAGGCTAGTGAAAACAACTTGGGGGGTGTTAGGGGCCGTCTTGGGGGCATGGTGGAGGCTTCTGGGACCGTGTTGAGGCCTCTTGGGCCGTCTTTGAGCCCTCCAGGGCAGTCTTCGGGCCGTGTTAGGCGGTCGGGAAACAGAAGACACCAAAATAACACCCCCCCGGAAACAAGCACGTATAATCAATCGGAAAAAAACACAAAGAATTGTACCGCGGCTAACCTTCAAACACGTAAGGAATACCTAACGTTGCGCCGAGTCGGGCCATATTGGGGATTGCCTCATTGGGCCTTCTTGGGGGCCTCCAAGGCCATCTTGTATCAATATCAAGCCATTTTGGAGCGGTCTTGGACCGTCTTGGGGCCTTCGTGGACCTGTCTTGGGCTATCTCGTGAGTAGATGAAGCCATCTTGGCGCTCTCAGGCCGTCGTGGGGTCTTCTTGAGCTGTTCTAAGACGACCTGCGATTTGGGCCCCGAGTCGCCCCAAGTCGCCCGAAAAGATGGCTCGGAGATGGCCCCAAGATGGTCCGAGGCAGCCCAAGGAACTACACAGAGGACCCAACCCAAGATGGCCGAAGAATCTGCCTCCAGATGCTCCCAAAATGGTCGTAAGAATGGAAAACGCATGACGTTATCGCAGTCCTGCTTGGGCTGGCGTCAGTGGGCTGCTCGGGCCCCGGGGAGGCCCGAAGAGGACTACAAAACAGCCCCTGGAGGGGCCCGAACCCCTGGCGGAGGGCCCCAGGAGGGCGGCAAGAGGCCCAAGGAGTGCCCCAGAGCGGCCCAACAGCGGAGGCCGGCGGAGGGGCAGGCCCCAAGATGGCCCCAGGACGGCCCCCAAGAGGCCCTCCATGATGGCCCCGAGGCGGCCCACGATAGTCCGAGACAATCCTCAAGAAACCTCCGAGGGGGCCCAAGAAAACGCTGGGAGGCACGGGAGGCCCCTGATAGCCCCAGGGTCATCCTGGAGTCCCTCAAAATTGCCCATATTACGTAGCACCACGCACTTGCGGATAAGAGGGAGGGGGCGGCGAGGACGTCGGCAGTCTGCGAAGCTCTGAAGAAGCCCGCTGCAGGCGCATCATTTCACAAACTACAACGAGCCCGCCGCAGGCGCCACCTTTTTTCGTTCAAGAAATATGGGTGGGTCGCGGGTTGGGTCGCGGGTGGGTCGCCTGCGGGTCGCGGGTGGGTCGCGGGCTTGGGTCCTGGGGGGGGCGACGACGGCAGACAACAACAGACAAACAGAAACAATCCGCGCCGCTCACTTCAGCCACGCGCCCAGGGACAGTGAATGACCGTTCGGCCCCCTCACTCTCATACGGCAGATTCACGTCGTATCGACCCCGGCGTTGGTTCCTGACGTCGCAGGGTCTTTCAAACTTGAACGATCGCCCGTTCAGTGAACGCCAGATCGTTCAACGACGGGCCGATTCTGGACCACGGGCGACGTTCAACCTTCAACGCCTGCGCTGGGGTCGCCGCTGGTGGACACGACGCGAACCTGCCGTAGTAGATCATAGAAGAACACTCGTCCTTGATGCGTGTGGTGTTCCTGTCTCTGCAGGCACCGATAAGCTTTTCGGCCCCCGTGGTTGCCTCAGAGGGCCCCACAGGAACGCTGAGAGAGCCCCAAGAATCCCCAGGAGGGCTTCGAGAAAACCCCAGGTGGCCCGAGAGAGGCCCAGCAGCGGAGGTCAGCGGGAGGCAGCTCCAAGATGACCCCAAGACGGCCCAACGAGGCCGCATGATGACCCCGAGGTAGCCCATGATGTTCCAGCTCAGCCAACAAAAAGCCTCCAGGCAGCCCGAAATGCTCGAAAACGGCCCTGAGGAGGCCCCACGAAGCCCCCAAGAAACCCCAGGGTCTGGGCCTGCCTCCCCCCTGCCCCGACGACGGCGACGGCCCTCCGCGTGCGGGAGGGAGCCTGGCGCAGCTCCCGCGGCAGCTCGGCCTCCTCGCCACCGCTCTCCGCGTCGCTCGGCGCCGTGGAGGACAGGTGCGCATCCGGGTCCTCGGGGGGGGGGGAGGGAGGGAGGGAGGGAGGGAGGGGAGGGAGGGAGGGAGGGGGGGGTGGGCGGAGGGCGGAGAGAGGGGGGGATTTTTTGGATTGCGCTCTGATTCGCCGAGGGGACGGTCAGCTTCGTGCGGCACTCAACTAGATGCAGACGCTGGCTGTGGCAACTGGTAACGATGCAACAGTGCGCACATGCAGCATGGGCGCCAAGGTTTGGCAAGTCCACCCGCCCCCGTCCTGTCCCCACATACCCCCAGATTGGACGGAACTGCACGTGGCTGGCACGACTGATGGCCAGCTCGCCGTAGCTCTCATTCTGCACCTGAGGGGAAGGATAAGGCGCAAGAGCGAGGGGAGGTATGAACAGGAGGGGAGCAGGTGAGATAGCCGACGAAGGGCTGAAAAAAAGGCAGCTAAGGGGGCGGGCGCGGAGCAGGAGCCTGCGGGATTGCACGATTTTCGCACGCTCGACCTGTGTCCCCTGCCTGCATCAACGCCGCATTGCGAGCCGCATCCTCCCAACAAGCCTAAACCCACCCGCGGTCCCGACCATAGAAAGCTGAAAACGCTAGGCAGAGAAGCGGGGAAGGTGAGACGGCCTGACGGTCCCGATGCGCGGGCGCGGGGCGGCGCGCATGTCTGCGCCCGCCCAGAGAGAGGTTCGCCGTACCTGGTACGGCTCCCGGAACCTCTCGAACTGGGGCGGCAGCTAGAGACCGAACGGAGAGAGAAGCACCAGGAGGCAAGGGGAGGCAGATCATAGTGGGAAGCGGGTGAGATGACCTGCGAACGGCCGAAACGGCAGCCGAGGGGGCGAGTGCGAGGCAGGGGCCAGAGGGACTACGATGTCGCACGCTCGACCTGTGGCCCATGCCTGATCCAACGCCGTGGTACGAACCTCGTCCCCGCCAACAAACCTAAACCCTCCCTCGGACCCGACCATAGTACAGGGCAATTTTTAATAAATTGGATGTTTCAGAAGTCGGATTTATCATACATGATGAAACTATGAATACATGTATGCATGAATTCATCGTTGTTTCTAATACTAAATCCCTGCATGTTTAATACATGATCCGCACGCGGAGCGTGTATTAAAAACGGCACTGTAAGCCGAAGCGCTAGGAAGGTAAGTGGGAACAGTGAAACGGCCTGGTGTGCCCGCTACGCGGGCGCGGGCCCCTGCGCGCGCGTGGCTGCCCGCCCCAAGAGAGAGGTTCGCCGTGAGAGAGGGGGAGGGAGGGAGGGAGGGGCAGGAGAGAGGCAGGGGGAGGAGGGGGCAGGGGGGGGGGGGGAGGAGGGAGGACGGAGGAGGGAGAAGGGAGAAGGTAGAAGGGGGCGGAGGGGAGGAGGACGAGGGGGAAGGAGGAGGGGTTGGTTGGTTAGGCCCTTGCGAAGAAGAGGGGGAAGCAGGGGGAAGAAGCAGGAGGGAGGAGCAGGAGAGGGAGGGGGCAGGAGGAGGAGGGAGGAGGTCCTCCACGACCAGTGTCCGCTCCTCCGTACAATCTGCAGTGCCTCAAGGGAGCTGCTGGAGAGGGGGAGTCAGCAGGAGAGGATGCGGCGAAGAGCTGCGGGCGGCCCACGCGTCAAGCAACATCACCTGCTACTTCGGCAGCCCGGCATGCGGCAAACACGTTCACGACTTGATTCCGCTCTCCCTTCTGCCTCGACTCGCCTGCAGCAGATCTGCCGTTCGGGCAAGACGCTCGTCGAGAACGGGCGCGCGCCCAGGGCGCCCGAGGCAGCCCCAGAGGGGCCCAGAGACTCCCCAAGATGTCCCCATGGAGCCGCAAGGCGGTCTGAGACTTAGGTCGGGCGTGTCCTCCCACAGGCGGATAATGGACGAAACACAAAATTCGTCAAACAAATCATCAACAAGAATGACACATATTCCAAAAATTGTCCCCGGACTATGTTTTGACTATGTTTGACAATTCCTCCTGTAGAGGGACGGACCCGACTGAACCCGAGACCGCCCCACGGCAAGAAGGGTCCAAGACAGCCCCAGGAACCGACCCGACGGCCCCGGAGACGGCTCTGCCCAGACCTCGTCGGCGCAGAGGTCGGAGGAGCCGTCGGGCCTGCCGCAGCACCCCCAAACGGCTCCCCGGACAGACCCCCCCCCCCCCGAAGGGCCCTCCAGAGCCCCCAGGAGGCCCCCGAGGTGCAGCCCAGGAAGCCCCCGGGAGGCCCCCAGCGGCGAGAACCCCTGAGAAGCCCGAGGCGGCCCCCAGAGAAGCCTCGCAGAGGCCCCCAAGGACGCAGCGCAGAAGGCACACAACGGGTGGGCCCCGCCACGCAACGACGTCGCAGCGGCGCTGCAGAAGCGGACCAGGTGGTCTCCACCGTTCTGGGGAGCCTTCTCGGGAGAGAGCCGCGGAACCAGCATGTTCAATGCTGCGCTGGCACG